ATTTCTAGTGCAAGTCTTTGTCTTATTTTAGGAAACTGGGCAATGATTGAAATCACAAAAGATAAAAATAAAACACACAGAGACTTGTCAAATAGGCAGTTATTCATTATTGTTATTATTTATTATTAAAAGGATGAATGTTTACTCACCTCCACTCTTTGAAGAGAACTTGGAATGCCGTTTTTTGTATTACCAACTATAACTCCAAACACCACAAAGGCTGTGCCAACCACCTTTTTACCAAATAGATATCTAAAATCACAAATAAACCATTAACTTGCAATCAAGAAACAACAACTCAAACATGTTATTTCCATGATTTTATAAATTAAACTGTGTCCACAAATCAAAAGCCTTCATATACGTCGCTTTGATGTTGATGGTGAGCTCATCACTGTCCACATAGAAAAAGGGGACGGATGTCAGTTTAACCTCAAAACTGGGAAGCACTGCAAAATAATACTCATTAAGTGTCCAGTGAAGCGAAAAGGGAAATTTTTGTTGGCTATTTTTAAACAAACTCACCATATTCTTTCACTTCAAATTCTGCCTCAAAGGTTTGCTTTAAGTTGGTGTTAAATTTTGACACCACCTTCCACGTTCCTGTACTACATATACAAACAGACACACATAGATGTACATAAAGAACACATAGTTCAGTGTTGATGTGTTTATAAGATACATAAATTTGAGATCCCTCTCAGTGTGGAGCATTAGGGAAAAATTACCTTACAATTTCAGGGAGGAAATAACTTCCATCGTAGATTCCTGACACTACAAGGACAAGCTTTGATTCTAAAATAATTCCATCAGGGTTCTAGAAATAAGAAAATTAAACCTAAAATTAGGAGAGAGCATCAATAAAACACTCAATATATTTTATAATTTTTAACATTTCTACAGCTTCCTAAAAACAGGTAATTTGTAATTATTAACTATATGGTTTATCTAAAAGTTTCAGTTTATGTTTTCATGGCAACTTGTATTACAGCATAAGTGTTGGAGAAATCTTTATGTTTTATATGTTTTAGTGACATTATTGGAGATCATTATTTTGTAAATGTTTTATACTGTCAGTGATAGATTTTGTAATGATGTAGTTAAATGAAAGATAACAATACCACAATATCAACAACAACAGAAGTATCAGTTCCCGGTTGATAGTTCTTGTCTGC